TTTACCGTAAGTTGGGTACAAAGGTCTGAGTAATTATTCAAATTCATCAACAGTGGGATTTGAACCCCAGACCTCTTACATGGTAGTCTGGCAACTTAACCACTACACTAAGATTACTAGACCTTGCTATCATATTTTGACTTTTCTACTTCAACTAATTTTTCTAATCATTCTTTTATCTCATCTTTTAATAAACAAATTTCTATGCTACTTTCTACCAGCTAAATATCTTCTATAGTTTCTGTTATCTCATTTGCTTTTGCTTCTTTTGATATATCATTAGTTTTATTTTGAGGAGGTGTGAGTTGTCTTGAGTCTTTTAGAGCTTTTACTTGTATAGTGATTCCTGTTTCTTTTAGTAGCAATGCTTCTATTTATATTTCTACCTCATTTATTATCTCATTTACTAATTCTTGTTATACATTCCTTGTGTTTTGCTCTTTATCTAGTACTAATTTAACTTTATCTATTCCTTCTGTAAAGGTAGCCTTCTCTAATACTATACACTATTGCCTTGCTAGAATAATAATCTCTTTATCTATATTCATTACTTTTGCTACTATCCTGTTGAAGTGATCTGCAAAATCTAATACTGAAGTACTCCTTTCTTGAATTATTTCTTTTTTATATTCTTTCATTATTTTCTTGATGAAGTGCTTTAAGCTTTCTGTATTCTACATATTTGTTTTTACTATCTATTTTGTTTCTTGTTTTCTGCTTTAACTCAATCTCTATTTTCTATATTGAAGTAACTTCGTCTTTTTTCTCAAATTCTTTGTAGTTTTCCTGATTACCTATAAAAATTCTAGTTCTCATCTTGTATACTTCTTTTCTATTAGTTAATTTTATATCACATTCTAGCAAATTTGATCACACATTTGTTTGTTTACTTGATTTTCTGTAGTTCAAAGTAACAACAAATCTCTAAAAATTTTAAAAATTTTTTGAATTTTTTTTCGAGGTTTCTTTATTTCTTATTTTATTCTTAAAGTAATAAGAAAATTTTTTTTGTTCTTCTACTATAATATATGTAGTTTCTAGTTATCTTTCTTTTTAATTAGTCTTTCTAATACTATTTCTTAATTTAGATTTTGACTTATTTCTGTTTTTTCTTTAGCTTCAGAATTGGTTAAAATGATATTTTCTTTAGTTAGCTTGTGATTTTGCTTCTAATATTTATTTTAACAAAAATTAAAACATATGTACATGAATCTTTTCTATTTTGGTCTAATTCCTTTGATCTTATATCATTAAAATCTCCTATAACAATAACTCATATTCTGTTTCTTTCACACTCTCTAATCTTCTGTATTATATACTGCTAAATCTTTTTCTTTTCTTCTTTGTCACTTGGTAGAATATAAGTATGAATAATTACTAACTTATATCTTTTAAATAGTAACAATATGTTAATATAATAGTTTCTAAATCTATTAATTTGTTCAATATGTTTTTCCTAATTTCTCTTAATTATTATCTCTACTGTCACTTCCTAATTTTTATTAATTTATATTTTCTATCTATTTTCTATTATATAAAATCATTTTTACATATTTTATTATTATAGTTTATTTCTAAAATTAGTATATTATATCTTATTTCTATATTTGTATTTTTATTATATTTATCATTTAAATGTATTATAAGAGTTTGTAAGAGGGTAATATTCTTGGGATAGTATCTGAATAGTATCCGAATAGTATCTTTTAAATGATCTGCTAAATAGAATTTCTAAGGTATCGTATATTAAATAATTGTCACTTTGTGGTAGAATAGTATCCAAATAATATCCCTATAGCATTAGTTATACCTATATCATTTTTATAAATATAAATACAAGTGAAATTCCTCAAGTTCCCTTATAGTTCTGTAGTTTTATTTATAATTACTTTTAGATAATAATAATTTCTTTAATTATTATTCTTTTGTAATTAAATAGTTCTTTATATTCTCTTATAGTTATTAAAACATCTATATAACAAAAATTCTTTCTAGTACACCTCACATACCAGATAAAAAACAAAAACAAATATTATAAACTTCGCAAGTACACTTCACAAACAACTTAAGGAACATAAGGCTTTAGTGCCTAAGAAAAAAAAACTAAACATAGCCTCTTGCAGTACTCAAGAAAGCAAAAAAATCAAAACAACTCACTTTAACACAAAAAATAAAATCTTTGATTTGTTTTCAGATAATATTCAAGAAGACAACATCAATGAGAAACAAATAGCGAGTAACAAGACTTTATTTAACATACAACAAAAAAATAAACAAATCTTAAAAGAAGCCTCTAACTAGGCAACTGAGATAGAAAATGAAACAGAAAAACAAAAAAAACAAAACTAAAGTCTCTCTTCTAAAGAAAACAAGACACGTTATCTTGAAAACAAAACAACAGAAGTTAAAAACAACAAAAGATACATGACCTTTTTAAGTGGCTTAGCAGATAATTATCATCATGAATCTGGTACTTCTTCATCAACATCACCTACATCTACTAACTTAGACTAAACCAACAACAAAGGAATCAATAACTCAAAGAACAAGTAGTGGTCTGATTTATTCTCTAAGCTTAAAAGAGGCAAAGCTATCTACAATAACTCCTCTCCTAGATTCAAACTTCACTCTAAAAATGAGAACGCCTTAATTATTGATATTCAAGTTTTAAACAACATCCTCTCTAACAAAATTATCTCTGCACTTGCAGCTAAACTAGGAGAAGACCTTATTGCAGCAAAATTTCATTTCTCAAGAGGAAAATATATTTTCTTAGAAGTGATTTTACAGAATAGCCACAAGCTTCAACTTTACCTCACTGAAGGAATTCTACTTTTTAAACAAACCCTGTTTAAATACATTCCAATAAATTTAAAATGTACCTTTCTAACAGTCAAAATTAGAAATGTACTAATAGGCAATACCAAAGAAATCAATAACCTCATTCTAGAAGCATTTCAGAATTTTGGCTCTATCACTTCTATTAAGCCTCTTCTTTTTGAAAGCACCAATATATGCTCTGACTAATAGTTGATCACTTTTGAAACTACTGAAAACTCAGAGCTAACTTTAAGACTTCCTAGAAGTATTCATGTTAGAGACTACAAAGTAACAACTGACTAGAAAAATGCTCCCAAAATATGCTATTACTGTGAGAAAGAGGGCCACCTCAAAAAGGATTGTAAAGAACTAAGAGCATCAATTGAGCTTAGGAAACTTCTAAGAAAACAGAAGATCCAAAAAAATATACATATACTAGATTCAAATACTGAGGTTAAATTTAGTGCAGACAACCCTTATATTGCAGAGCCTGCAGAGGAATCTTCTCAAACCCTAGTTACAGAAAACCAAAATACTTCTGACAACTCCTCAAACTCAGAAACCCTTTCGCAAATCACTAAAAAAAAAGAAACCAAAGACAAAGTCATGAAAACTCTGGAAGGAGTAGATAATACTCCAAACTCAGATCATGATAAAGAAAACGATATAAAAGATATCTCCTATACAACTGTAACATCAAAAAAATATAAGAAATCTGACAAAAACAAGAAAACCTCTACTGCAATAGAACATGAAAAAGAAGACTCTACAAAGAGTCTTCAGAACCGTCTAGATTAAGTATTACACTAACAAGTGTAGCAAATATTCTTATATTCGCAAATGATTAAAATAGCTATACTCAATGTCAAGGGTTTGAATAACAAATTCAAAGCTCAAAAAATACTAACACTACTAAAATCATATCATCTTGATATAATTATAATTCAAGAAACAAATCTTAGCAATAGCAATACAAGAAGATTTC